TAATGTACGTTTTATAAGCTTGAACAAGGAGATCTTTATCATTAGTCGAAAGCCCTTTGAAAATCTGGTATGTTCTATAAGTAGCTTTCTTATAGAGCATATCCAAATGTTGGGAAAAGGACAGCTTATTGTCGTAGTGAAAACCAAGGTCCTTAACAGACGGGACACTCTCGAGAACATGATTGCCAAGTCTATAGGACCCTATCAGATTCGAAGATCCCATCCTCATGTACACAGTCTTTTCGGGTGCTAATAACAAATTCCATTGTTTAGACCATTCAGAAATAACACCTAAAGCATTTTGGATCATTCTTATATCATCCTCACTTTCTATCATCCTATAAATTTTGATATCATCTGCGAACTGTTTACACACAACTCCACAATCTTCAAGCTTCTTAGGAAGCTCGGCCGTGTATATTGTAAAGAGAATCGGGGAAAGAACCCCACCTTGAGGAACTCCACTTGTAACATCTCTCAAATCCGAAAAAACAGACCCAATACGAACTTGAAATGTTCTCCCAGAAAGGTATTGCTCGATCCAACGACATATCATAGGGTGAATCTTGAGTTGAATCAACTTGCTTACAAGCTTAAAATGATCGACCTTATCAAATGCCTTGGAAAAATCAAAGTAAATTATGTCACACGATTCGACATTGGAATTTATCAGAAGCTTCACAATAGCCTCTACATGGACGACATCAGAAGAATTTGCCACAGGAACGGGTGCACGATTCGAGTTCAACGAGATCCTCGTAGACCATTATGACGGTATCTGAAAAGCTGGTCAGAAGAGATCCTGCATGGACAACTACTATCTTCAGGAAGCTATGCGCTAGTCAACTAATTGAAGAAATTATGTGACTGTAAGCAGTTTCAATCTGGAGGGATTACGGTAGGCCTCCTTGAAACGGTGATGGCAGATGACGTCATATTTAAAGACAGTGATTGTGACGAGAGTGGTCTTGGTTCTACTTATAGAAGAACATTTCACGAACATTCTGCTGCAAGACTTCCAACAATTAATCTATGTAACTAAAAACTTGCTATGTGGGCCGTGTGCAAAAAGCCTTTTTTGCCGACCCCCACCCCTCCTCCTAAAATGAGGGGGTTCCTATTCAGTATCCTGATCACAAATGCATCTACTTTACTATCAGAGCCATATGGTGCCAGTTTTGGGGCATCCATCATCATTCAAGTTCGCTCCAACATAACGTCCCCTTCAAAAAAGCGAGAAAGTGTCGGGTGCAGACCAAGCACTACAACTGACGACGGCCTCCAAATACCCTATTTTCCGGTGTATAAGCCCCTGCTAGTATCCTGTAAAAACACCTCCACTCTCAGATAGTACAACAGCAGAATGGCAGCACCATAGGGTTTGCACATCTCGGGCTAGTCACGGAGTCAGGCAAAAAGGGGCGGATCCTTTGCCGGATATGCTGCCATGCTCGCAGCACATGCTGCGCACAGTTCCACCGCTGTGCTGCTGTAATCTGAACGACTGACGTCTGCTGCAACGAGCACTGCTGCACCTCTAGGGAGTGCAGCCTAGGTGCGGTACTAACGACGCAGCACTACTGGACATATGCTGCAACCAGCACTGCTGCACTTCTACAGCACCCTACCGCCTCCCCAGGGGGCCCCTCCGGGATTAGCAGTACTACTGCTAATCTAGTGAGGCCCAGCTACTGCCATAATACTGCATATCCCAATGGCCAATATTGGCCACTCCTGGACAAGTGGCAGTACTACTGCCAAACTACTGTAAGCCAACTACTGCCAAACAACGGTAAAACATGCACGTTTATCCTAATGGCACCAAAGCAAACAAATCTTCGAGCATCTGATCATACGCGATTTAGGTCCAAAAATTAATTTTCTCTGGAAACTTGGCTAGGGGGGTTTTCAAGGGTGCTGAACACAGTGGTGAACTCGGTTTTGCACAAAAGTTTCAAATTTAGGGTATTTTGGGTAAAAAGCTGGTTTTTTCAAAATCCAGCCATAGAAACTTAGAAACTTCTACCCCGGGGCAATCTGGGGTGCTGAGCACGAATCTGGGCTCGGTTTTGCCTAAAAGACCGAAATTCAGAGTATTTCGAATTCCGCTCAAGTTTTAGCCAAAGAAACGTCTACCCCGGGGCAATCTGGGGTGCTGAGCACGAATCTGGGCTCGGTTTTGCCTAAAAGACCGAAATTCAGAGTATTTCGAATTCCGCTCAAGTTTTAGCCAAAGAAACGTTCTACCCCGGGGCAATCTGGGGTGCTGAGCACGAATCTGGGCTCGGTTTTGCCTAAAAGACCGAAATTCAGAGTATTTCGAATTCCGCTCAAGTTTTAGCCAAAGAAACTTCTACCCCGGGGCAATCTGGGGTGCTGAGCACGAATCTGGGCTCGGTTTTGCCTAAAAGACCGAAATTCAGAGTATTTCGAATTCCGCTCAAGTTTTAGCCAAAGAAACTTCTACCCCGGGGCAATCTGGGGTGCTGAGCACGAATCTGGGCTCGGTTTTGCCTAAAAGACCGAAATTCAGAGTATTTCGAATTCCGCTCAAGTTTTAGCCAAAGAAACGTCTACCCCGGGGCAATCTGGGGTGCCGAGCACGAATCTGAATTCGGCTTCGAGGCAATCTCCATCTTCAACTACAATGCTCGGACAAAATTAGGTGGTTTCTTCCTAGGAATAGGTCCCTATCGGTTTCCAGAGCAAATTTTTGGACATATATCGGGTACTTACAATTAAAACATCGCAATATACAAAGCATAGTACAGAAACATAATACATTATGTCAGTAGATTGATGAGTTTTGTTAGTGACAGAGGAGAGATCAAATTTCAGAACATTGTGCATATGTGTAAAAACTTGTTAATATTTTCCGAAGTACAGCAAATCATCGCATGGTCCGTTTTTCATTTGGAAAAGTAGCCGAAAGAACAGCAAACAATGTTGCTGGTACACAATTCCCGGGTATCTTCCGGTTCCCACATTGAAAGCCGAACCAGATCCCTTTCTTTTTTTACACCAAAGGAGATGTTTTCAAGGCTTCACTTTCTGCTACAAAGTGTCTGTGAACACGACCAGTCCAAATAGGGAGCACCGTAAAATTTCGATAGACAGCCTTGAACTGCATCCGGTGTGTTTGCACTATGTGTCTGTGTTTCCGAAAACGCCTGTATCCGACATAGTTGTGCCCAAAAGGGAGAGGGAAGATATGCACCATAACGAGAAAAGATTCGGCAATACCCATGGCGAAATTGTTAGCGAGGCCTGAGCACCATGAAGACTGTTTTGGGGATCGATCCGTGCTCCTCTGCTGCAGCAGTTTCGCGGGATATCACGAAATGGATGCAGTAACAAGACGGTGGAATCGCGCAGAGAACTCGAGTAGCGGGCGTTCAACGTCCATTTTGAAAATGCGGTTCAAAACTGGTCCAGCTATCCATGGAAGTCAAAACTGTTTTAATCACAGAAAAACGGACCAGCGAAACACGTGTCTTCACTACTAGAATGTGAGAAAATCGACCATTGAAATAGTTGAGCTGAGATGAGACGAGTGTTGAGTGATATAGATGTGCGATATGGACTGAGTAAGATTTGTTATTTGTAAGCGGGATTCCAAGCCGTCCTTAAGTATTCAGTCGTGTGATGTTTGTGTTTGCTCAGGTCGAGAGGAATCAGCAAACTGCCTCTTCTAAAACAATCAATTTTTGTTGCATGGAAGTCTTTGTGGCAAACGATAAAGCAAAGCCTTACAGGGCGGGGCACGAGGCGGTCGTGTTTGGGGACATATTGTCTGATGTCGGCCCTGAATAATTAGCGATCAGTCAATGGTTTTGACTTGTTGAAGTGTACATCCTAATATTACTTCAAATTTTCATTTAGTGGAAACACCTACATAGCACGCGCGAGTGCACCACGCAGAATAGCTGCCCAACACAAACGCATGTCCTTTCGTGAGCGGAGTGCTCTAGCTCTAGCCGTATCGTTGTCCCCAAGAGTGAGCCAGAAGCTTAAAAAAATTGGTTAGAAACGCAATTTGCAGCAATCATTCTGCCTTTCTGCCTTACCTAGTGGGATTTTGACTCAATTCTTCTACACTGGCATCCAATTCTGGGGCATATAAGTTCAAGCCGTCGAGACAACACCCTGACAAGAAAGCTTAGACTTTTTGCAACGCTACTTTTAGCATCGATTCCAGTAAAACCGACCTATTAATGATTCAGCTACATCCGCTGGGAGATCCTTGAGATTAGGTTTCTTTTGATATTTACCGGACGCTTCGATACGTGTACTCTTGTATATTATGTACAGGATTGCACGCCTGAAGCAGTAGCGGCACTAAACTTTGTGGCAATGGTAGTTCATTCAAGACCGAGCGGTTATAATACTTATCTGGAGCAGGTATTGCCTAAAAAAATCGACGCTCTGTGACGTGTGGTCCTCTGGACGCGCTCGCAACGTGCGTCGCCAGTTTTCCATCAAGTCATTCAAGTTGGTCGCATGAAATGAGTACACTATCATTTCATATATGCTACATTAAAAGCTACTCAACTAGAAATCAGACAATCTACCTTGAATGGGTACGATTCGCGAACTGCCCATTGCTTAGTCAAGTTCTGTGCGCGCAGAAAAGTTCCATTCGGCAACTTCGGGTCCATATGTTTCGAAGCGACTGCTTCTGCGTGCAAATAGCGACCATGTAACTGTTTCGTAAACACCATCAAGGAGTCAATCTATAATGTGGGTCAAAGAACGATTTCCGCAGAATGCTGGTAGCAGATAGCTAACTAACGACTACTGCCATTCCCACTATCGCATCTGACAGTCTCGCGGTTACGGCCACAAGAGATCGAACGACAGAATCTGATGACTGTTGCACGTTCGCAGCTGCCATTTGTAGCAATTTAGTCTCTTCAACGTTGACGCGACACCCCCTCACCGTACGTGTGATAAACTCCTGAAGCATGTTGTGGAGCAAATTTGCAAGTGCATTCGGTAATTTAGAAGGTACAGACATTGTATTCTTCACCGATGTCAAAGTGCGACATGGCTTCCCCTAACTGCTCGAGTGAGATCTCGTCCGATTGAGCTACTGTGCGCATAACAGCTGCAACATGAAAACAATCCGCTTTGAAGGAATTCCTGAGTAAAGCACAAGGCTATTAAGAACCTTGCAGCAACCATGGACGAGTCGGTGCTCGACTTTGTGACGTGCTTTGATAATGGAGCAGTTCTTCTGCTGCTATATCATTGTTCTCGCTGCCTGCAAAATCGAACGACACCTTAGAAACATCACGTTATAAGCTCATGCAACGAATCCACCTGTTCCAGTATTTCGAAGCTCCTGGGATCCTACTGAGTGCGCAGATAACGCAGGGGAAGAGACCATCGAAGAAGGAGTTCCCGCACACTCTCTGAGTGAAGTCACCGAAACGATATTCGACGGAGTACTTAAGTTGGAACGTTCTTCGGAAACGTTTTGGTTTTCTTCCATATGATAGTCTGGAGAAACGACCGAGAAATAAGAGTTTCCAACCAGGCAACACTTAGATGACAGCTTACGGCATACCGTTCGTTGCACTGTCCACAGATGTCCTGTACGCCTCAGCGATAGCTGCCGGCAACTCGTCAGCGTTCGCATTGCACGCAGGGGATTTGATGCCGCTCATTCTAGCTCCCGCCCAACTACAACTCTGAACTATTGTTCGAAACTAGCTAGAAAAAGTGAATGTATATTCATGGCATACACCATCTCATGAAAGTGGTGGGACACACTTAAACCATTCCTTTAATCTCTCAACTTACTCAGAGGTCAAGATTATGCATGGAAACATAGCGCAACATAAGAAACTTATCAGCTTCGAAACCGTCAGAGTTTTCCATCGTTGATGTTTTTCTGCTCTCGAAAACACCATTGAAATTTCCGCCGTTGTTGTTTTTTTGCTCCCGAAAAACCGTTGGTGATGAAACATCAGGTTCGTGTCGAGTCAAGAAACTCAAGATTTCCCATCTCAAACCGAGCTCGAAATCTGTTAAAGCGGTTAGATTGCAGTGTCGCTAAGGTGCCAATGCTCCAAGGGGTTACACTAAGCAAAAAAGATGAGGAGCCGTACCGGCGGAGGTTAGAGGCGTGACACGTATGACGTTGACCCAGCGTCAATGAGCAAAGCTGGCGACATAATGTCATAAGCATTGCATAGAAGAAGTTCTCTACCTATGACTCTTTTGAAAAAACGATTACAACGACGAATATCGTACAAAGCAGAGCGAGCTCGATTTGTGGCCGGGTGGTCGCTACTTTCCAGTGCCGCACTGAGTGCTACAAAAGGGTCGTCCGTCTTAATCTCTTCTATCAGGACACTGCATTCGTTTGTCCAGGAATCGAATGCAAACACGATGACTTTTCCGAAAAGAGGGACGCCATTAACTTCCAAGCAAACAAATTCTTGCACCGTATCCATCGTCCGTTTATTATACACCGCCGATGAGTAGATCTTGTTCCCTTTACACAAGCGGCAACTGAAAGTGTACTCCTGTGATGGGCCTTCTCATACAATTCTCATTCTTACCTGAAACTCGTAAGGTGTCGCCTTGTTTCAAAGTATTGCTGATGTTCTATGAACAGATCGTCCAGTCGCAACATGCTTGATTGTGGCACATGGCAGTCGGAATCAAGTATGCAGTCACCCGGGGAAGGCCTAATAGATAAAGGTTTGAGATCTACCATTGCCACAACTAGTCGATCCACAAATGTAGGTTACCTAAACGTTTCGCCTGCTGCAAATTTGGCATACAAACGGTCCATGAACACATTGCTGTATCGTTGAGTTTCCTTTTCCAGCTTTCCAAGCAGGTATTTGCGCATCACGAAACTAAAGAGCGGAACGTCTATGTATAGTGTGGTGAGGATAGGTAGGGGAGACTCTAAAATGTGCATACTTCTCAACGACTGCATCCTCAACGTTCGTAGTGCACTGAGCTACTCGGAGTTGAAGGCGACGATGCATGCTTTCGAAGGCACTTGCGGTCCAATGATAAGGTGTTCCAACGTCGTATATGTCTTCCAAAAGTGCATGGTCGACAAAGCACTGCAGATCAGTGAGATTGGTGAAACTTGCTATTGAGACACTCGCATTAACCATGCAGATTTTCGCAAGCAGACTACTACGACACTTACATGGACTTTCAGGGTGAATAGAGTCGGCTCGATCGCGTACCATAGATTCTTCATTGCCCTAGCTAGTTCTTGGACTCCAGGGAAGTCGTTTACTGTCAGCTCAGGGCTCCTTTCAATGACTCGCACGAGTATCCAATATGTAAGCACAGCGACAGCACCCACAGGATCAGCGCAGACATTCATCGCGGCCGCAAGAGGGAAAACCAAGAAAGAAAGCTAAAAGGTGATTATAAAACACGCAGAATCGCGACTCAAATCTGAGGGAACACAAGTATGATATCTCCCACTTACAGCGTCTTTCTCAGACCCGGTGGTACCCGAAAAGTCTTCAAGTCCAAGAACGAACTTATCCGCGTACGTATAATTACGAGTAGTGGCTATGATGCGATAGAACTCCTGCAGGCACTCCGGACGCACTTTCATCGCGGGCACGCGGCTTTGCGAAGAAAACATGGCTGAAGTTATCTTCTTAGAACGCCATAGGGATAGAGATCGCAAAAGGTGAAGTCAACCTTTAAAAACGTCACAAGTTATGCCTTCAGAGATCACATGCAGCGCATCCGGTATGCATTCATGCACCATTAATATGTCCATCATCTGCGTTCGACCTGTACAGAAATGAGTCTACTACATGTATGTTGAGTGACAGCCCAGTGGGGGAAGGGCGCGGATGTGCCCAATGGCAATAGCTAACCTCTTACGCCTTGAGAGCGCGTTATCGCATCTTGAGTTAGTGAAGCGTATGTGCGACGGTCTCCAGCAAAAGGGAATCTGGGAAACCAAATTACTCGGTGGCCAACTCTTTCGCCCGGGAAAGTACAGAGATGGCATCCGTACAAAGACTGCCAGCGGGGTAAGTCGTACAAAGTCTTCAAGGCCTGAAACACTTGATACTATACAGAGATTTCATTTCCCACTGCCTTTTAAGCTACAAAAACCCACGGCGAAGTCATTGGTACCATGAGCCAGTATCGGGGTGCAGAACCAAGTAGTACCGTTGTGTGATACGGGAATACCGTTCTCGCTCAGCATTTCGAGTTCTTCACGAAGACTGAAACACACCAGGTTCAACCCTCTAATAGGATTGAGTCGACTGGACTTAGTAACTAACTGACCGCCCAAACATTTCGGTTAGAAGCTTTTCCGTGGGAGCTTTCCTTGTGAACGTGATTCCAGCCAAAAGTACGTTTTCGATCTTGTTCTTCTCCTTGAACGGGAGCCCCTCGAGACGCATGTAGATAGGCCATGCCTCGGACCTTGAGTTAGTAGAATCTCGATCAACTGACACGCGACAGTTTCACTTAAGTTTCACTTAGACGAAATTGAGTCACCGTGAAAGCTTCTTCAACTTGACGCCGTCAAAATTCAGAGTTAGTATGATCTTCATTTTACGCTCATCGAACTCCGTGAGCGTTTCAATGGACCGCTTGTACCATGGGAAAGAGGTAGTTTCGCTGCGCTCAGAACCGATTTCCTGTAACGAGTAGCGGCGTACATGTGAGTGTTTATGTGAACTCGGGCAAAAAAAAAACCGGGAACACGCCTACCCCGCAATGTATTTCTCTGTGAATTCGAATAAGAGTGGGGAGAACCTTGTCAAGTATCAGCGACAGTTGAGGTTCGACTTGCAAAAAGTGGATAGCCGTTCTCTTCATGGCTTTGCACCGCTTCGGATGAAAGCTACAATGAGCGCAGTTAAAGCGCGATGAGTCCAGCTAGTCAATTTGAATACAGACCCTTGGATTGCACATTCAGGATTTACACAGACTGCCTTAGATCCACCTAGACGTGAGTCGCAAGGGTTGCAGTAGAAGAACTTGGTGTGACCGAAGCGCTGGCGGGCATCATGCATCATTTTCTTCATTGAAATGTTCATCTTTAACAAATTTTTTATTACATTATTTTTGTTAATGTTGACGTGTGTTGTTTCATATAGTTTCTTGTTTGTGTTGATCTAATTATTGTTAGCACAAACAAAAACAAACAAAAAATAGCAAAAAATGAAACCTAAAATTTGGAAGAAAAGCAATGTACGAAAATGAAAATAAAACCAAAATCTGATCATAGAATCGAATTAGCACATTGACGACAACCCGCTGTTAGTGTTCCCCGGCATTTTTTTCTGATACCAGATCAGTCCCCCCGCAACCGACGCACCCTCACTTATCTCTCCGCCACGCTAGGCGTTCCTCCTCCTCACGTTCTCCTCCTTTCCTCCCCACACTGTTCTCCAGCTGCCACTGCAGCACCTTGTGAAATGATTTAAAAAGTGCTATATTGTATATATTGTTTCTCTAGTTGCTCATGCAGCGTTGAGGTACTATCGCGATCTGCATCTTGAAAGCAGTGCAACCCCTCCCTTTTTCTACCCCTCCTGCACATTCCCTTTGTCCTCTCCCCTCCCCACCATGGGTGGACAAAACGTCGAGACACACCGACAACCGACATACCAAAATTCTGGCTTAATACAATGAACTGATTCTCAGAAAATTAGCACTACTCATTCAAGAAGTCGTCAATAGTAATTAGCAGACCCAGTATTGAACTCGGACAATTCCTACCATAAAAGAGACTAAGTAAATTGACTAAACGATAACTACTCGCATGACATTTTGTCGTCAATGTGCTAAATCACGCATTATTCTAAGAAGCTGAAAGCAATAAAAAGAAAATTGACTGACCGGCTCAGGAAGTGGAACACCAAAGAATGCCAAAAAATCGTCCAAAAAACTGGTCATTTCTTCGCTTACCCCAAAATGAAGTTTAAAAGCGGCAGCATAAATAACCTTCTGCTGGAACGCTGAAAACATTAATGTATCTAAGACATGACTTGACAACCACCCTACATAGCATCTACAAGTATCTCACTCACTCGGAAGCGAAACAGAAATCCTTGAGTCATCCTGGACAGCAATCACATTTTCTTCGTGAACCTCGTCCGCAGGCTCTTCAACTTCTTCCGGGCGATCAGCCCCAGGAGATCCCCCCATTTCAACCACCATAGCCTCTTCGCTGGCCTCCCTGTCCAAGTTCTGAACTTGTTCAGCATCCAAGTCAGCGAGCTGACGGGCTAGATCCACGACTGGTGCTGAATGATCGACGTTGTGTATCAGGGCAGAGCTACTAGGATAACTGATTCTACGAGAGACTGTAAAGGCGCTCACCAGCCATCGCTCTCAGAGATCGACTCCTTCTCAACGGTCTTGGCATCTTCACAAACGGCTCCGATGGCACTTCGTCGACGTCGCGCGAACAACAAGGGGCGTCAAAGGTCCGTTTCCGGCTCATAAAACACCTATGCCTAGTTTACACCTGGTTAGTCCTTTCACAATCAATCGAACAGACGTCGACTGACATCATATTTGGGCTATGAAATACTTGCGGTTACGCACCCATACAGCAATGAATCAAAATTTGGTAAGTGTTTATTCATCCGACAACAACGAGGTACACAAGCTGTTTTCCGAAAGAGATGTTGTGGAAATCACTCGAACCCGAGACCCATTCCCGTCAGAGTTAGCGGTCATAAAGGGAAAGTTGGCAAGAGAATAATGGATATCGGAGAGCTTTGGCAATACTTCCCGCAACTCAGCCGCACACCTGAACATTGACACTTATCCGATGCAATTTCAAGGTGATAGTTCCAAAACGCATACTGTGACACAGGCGTACTCAAAAACAAGTGCTCCATGTGGGCGAGCTGTAATCCTTTCATGGCGCTCAGATCCATTGTCAACCACCTGAACAGCACTCGCTCAGGCAAAATAGGTGAGTGTTGTGGAAACATCAAAGCACCTGTTCTCTCTGCAGTCCAGATAATTGAGAGCTGGGAAATTTTTCGCTAATGTCGACCAAGGGTGAACCAGCTGGTTATTGCGAAGGCAGACATATTTGACGCAAGTGGAGCCCGGACGAATGCTTTCGAGGTCCTGATCACTTAGATCGCAGCTCTCGAGATGCAACGTCTACAAATGCACGACGTCTGTAGCTTGATCATGAAACAGACTACATACCCTCCAATTTTGCATCTACCTCCAATAAACGGTAGCTCCACAGATTTCGAAGCGCTTCAAGAGCAGCTGATTTGTCGTTCCTTATCAGTAGATCAACTATAGGACCCGACATTATGTGTTGCAAGTATGTTTCCGAAAATCTGAATGATGTCATGGATTGAAAGTTCCCATCACCCTTCATGAGCCGAAGATGAACAAGAAGAGAAAGCTACCAACTACCACTCAAATCAAATGATGGACAACGGAAGTGCGTCTTTGTTCAGTCTCTTCAGCTGTAGCCAAGTGGGACGAGTTCCGGGCTCTAGTCGCAATTTTTCACACGGTACTCAGAAACTGTCTCGATAATACCTGCCAGGCGCAAACGCCAGTAGTCGGCGCATTGAATAGTGAACAAGCAGTTCAAAAGCGAATAGAGTATGGCACCAAAAGTGGATTCGATAATGCACAATCAGTTCAAAAGCGAATAAGCGAATAGGAAATGGCGAATTGAATAATGAAAAACGTAGTAGAAACGGCTCACTCCTCACTCTCCTCACTCCTCACTCCTCACTCCTCACTCCTCACTACTCACCTCACTCCTCACTCCTCACTCAGACGTCCCGTCCCCCAAGGATATGAACGCCAGTAGTGGCGCACTGAATAGTGAGCAAACAGTTCAAAAGCGAATAAGCGAATAGGAAATGGCGAATTGAATAATGAAAAACGTAGTAGAAACGGCCCACTCCTCACTCCTCACCCCTGACTCCACTCCTCACTACTCACTCTCACTCACTCCTCACTCCTCACTCCTCACTCAGACGTCCCGTCCCCCAAGGATACGAACGCCAGTAGTGGCGCACTGAATAGTGAGCAAACAGTTCAAAAGCGAATAAGCGAATAGGAAATGGCGAATTGAATAATGAAAAACGTAGTAGAAACGGCTCACTCCTCACTCCTCACTCCTCACTCCTCACTCCTCACTCCTCACTCAGACGATCCCGTCCCCCAAGGATACGAACGCCAGTAGTGGCGCACTGAATAGTGAGCAAACAGTTCAAAAGCGAATAAGCGAATAGGAAATGGCGAATTGAATAATGAAAAACGTAGTAGAAACGGCCCACTCCTCACTCACTCCTCACTCCTCACTACTCACTCCTCACTCACTCTCCCCTCAGTCGGATGTCCCCATCTCCTAAGTGTATGGACGCCAGTAGTGGCGCATTGAATAGTGAACAAACAGTTCAAAAGCGAATAAGCGAATAGGAAATGGCGAATTGAATAATGAAAAACGTAGTAGAAACGGCTCACTCCTCACTCCTCACTCCTCACTCTCACTCCTCACTCCTCACTCAGACGTCCCGTCCCCCAAGGATATGAACGCCAGTAGTGGCGCACTGAATAGTGAGCAAACAGTTCAAAAGCGAATAAGCGAATAGGAAATGGCGAATTGAATAATGAAAAACGTAGTAGAAACGGCCCACTCCTCACTCCTCACCCCTGACTTCTCACTCCTCACTCCTCACTCCTCACTCCTCACTCACTCACCCCTCAGTCGGATGTCCCCATCTCCTAAGTGTATGGACGCCAGTAGTGGCGCACTGAATAGTGAGCAAACAGTTCAAAAGCGAATAAGCGAATAGGAAATGGCGAATTGAATAATGAAAAACGTAGTAGAAACGGCTCACTCCTCACTCCTCACTCCTCACTCCTCACTCCTCACTCCTCACTCCTCACTCCTCACTCCTCACTCCTCACTCCTCACTCCTCACTCCTCACTCCTCACTCCTCACTCCTCACTCCTCACCCCTCACTCGGATGTCCCCATCTCCTAAGGTATGAACGCCAGTAGTCGGCGCATTGAATAGAGCGCAAACGAAACAATTCAGAAGCGAAATCGGAAATGGCACGAAGGTTTTGTACGGAAGATGCTTCATCTTCTGATCGATGCTTCAGCATCGATCAGAAGATGAAGCATCCTTCGATCGACACTTCAGTATCGATCGGAGGATGCCGACGAGGTCTGCCCCGTCGGCATCTTCCGATCGATACTGAAGTGTCGATCGGATAACAGATCAACACTTTCATTTGTCTCATTAGGACCCTCTTACCCTCACTCCTGAGTGTAAGAGGGCCCTAATGAGACAAATGAATGGAAGAATACAAAAAAAAACAAAAAAAACGAAAAAGGGGGGGGGGTAGCGAAGGAAGCGCCCCTGCGCTTAGCCCACTGCGATCGATCGCGGATGTCACGTGCATTTCGAAATAGCCGTGTACTGTAACAGTCGTTGCGGGACCCAGTCGCTGCTTCCTTCGACGCACTGCCGCCGCAACTCGGGATGCCTCATATGCTGCCGGCCGGTCTTCGGCAGCATAACTGGCCGCAGGGTTTGGGAAGGGTACGGATCGCAGGACCAAGGCAGCAGCAAGGCAGCAAACGCCAGTACTTGCGAAAGCTGTGACGTCACAGCGAATTAATTGTTCCCGCCAATCGAGTGTCCCGCGGTAGAAATCGCGGAGGGACCCTCATTGGTCCCGCCGCGAACTGTATCAGGACAGCAGCTTGGCAGCACCTGACAGTAGTGCTGCCAGCCTGGCTGCGGCAGTAGGGCGTGCTCAACCAATAGGAGACGAGCGGCTCGTCTCCTATTGGTTGAGCACGCGGAGTCCTTCTGTGTTCTCGCGCCTCCGGCGAAGGGCAGCAGGTCCTGCTCCTGTTGGGGCTCTCCTGGTCCATGGCAGTTGTGCTGGAGACCCGCCCTCGCTCCACCCCAATCCGAATAGACCAATCACAGAGCTTGGGCGGGGCAGCAGCACATGCTGCCATGCCAGGCATTTGAATTTTTTTCGGCAGCACAAATGCTATGCTGCTGTTGTGCTATGCTGAGCATGTTAATGTGGGCAATCTTTTTTGTTCGCGCTTTCCAGCAGTGAAGCAAGTGCCTCCCTTCAAAAAGCGAGAAAGTGTCGGGTGCAGACCATGCACCACAAGTGACGACGGCCTTCACAAAATGTTAATGTTTTCTGCCAATGAAATGATTAGCCTGTTGCAGTTGTATTCTATCGATTGTCACTAATTACAACTATCATTTACCAGAAATTTCGTATAGCATTCGTTCGCGAGTTGCCGGTGTTTGGTCCTCGCACACGACATTTTTCTCGCTTTTTGGAGGGGGGGGGGTGGGCTACACAAAGCTGTTAATCAAAATGTACAAACAGATTGCGCGCTTCCAGAATACATCATCATACATCATACATCATACCTTGGGAAATAATCAGCAAAGAACCAAAAAAGCAAAAAAGGTGGATGATTCTCGCTTATGCTTAATGCTTAATATTGTCCACATAGCTGACAGTGGGCCATTAACGAACGTTTCTACCACTTGAATTCTATAGTTCGTATGTTTCATCCAATTATACGATAATTCCTCAGTCAAATTTATATAGAGCTAACTTTATACAAACATGGCTCCTCTGACATGAATAAATTTGTGCGCAGTCTCAAGTTTTTCTTCTTTTTTCTGGGTCTTTGGCAATCCCAAAATCGCTACATGGAAGGCTCCCGAATGCAGACTATATGGCCTAGTCTTAAGGAGGACAAACGTGGCAACCATTTTGGCTATTTTACAAATGTTTTAATCAGTTTTGATTTCTGTCGGAGGATAAGGACACTGAACTTGAAGCTCTGAAATAAAGTTTGATGGGAGTTTGGAATGTGTTAATGAACAAAATGAATGTTTAGTTTAGTTGTTTATGACAACATTAGCCTGTCATTGGATCTCCTTGCGTATGGCCATATGGCAAGTTCAAATGCTATGTCGCGGCAGATCCTTGATGGGATTAAATTATGTGTGGCGTATTCCCGAGAAGACACGAGTTCACTTATCGATTACTTCAGCTTTATTTCAATAATTTCCTTGGTTTCAGTCTTGAAGCGTTTAAATTACAGTGCATCCCGCATCAGCATCCAAGTTGGCTACATTCCAACCACAGGCGACAACGTCCTAATTATCATTAACGGTAACATTATCAATTCCTTATAAACGAAAAACGCCATTTTTTCGACAAATTCCTTAACGGCAAGGGCGGAAGTGGTGTAGTGACAAGTGGCGCGCTTACCACGCGAGCGGTCCGGGGATCAAATCCTGGGTCGTGAGTCGCCCGGGCCAACCAAGCCTTCCATCCCTCCGGGGTCGGTTAATTGGTACCAGACTTGTCTGGGAGGATAAAAAACACTGACTTGTACATCGGCTGGCCCCCGCAAGTCATTGTATAGGCCACATCGCATTCGAATGTACAAATGGAAGTAGAATGCGTGCCGCATCCCAAAAGGGATTGATCAACGGCAAATGCTTTATCCTTTATCCTTTA